CCCGGAACTTGCCGATATATGAAGCTTTATTTGTGATATAAGTACATAAAACAGAATGTACACGTTATATCAACAACAGCAGCACGCAATATTATGTAAGTCGATTAAAAACATTACACAATAATTCTACTTGGGTCATTGTGTTGTGAGAAAACGCATTATGTTCAACCTAAAGTTTCAACATACTGGGCGATCCTACAGAAATAGTTTAGCTTACATGAAATGAAAAACGACCTCTAGCACAGTCCTATACCCATTATCATAAATCTATGTTAAAGGGGTTTTATGTGTAGCAAAGCGGAAAAGTAAGGATTACTGGGCAGTGATATATACCATAGTCTAACTCATATGTAATTACTTTTTCTTCATCACTATATGTCCGCCTTCATATCGGATGTCTGTATAAAGGTATCGTCATATTGTGTGCGCACGTCGTTAACCACAGTGCGTGAGGGTGAGGTGCGTGACGGCGTCAACGCCGACGTGAGTCACGTCACAAACGTGAAGTCGGTTGAAGTAATTGTTACTTAACCTCTAGAAGTGTGTTCATATGGACATGTAACTTCACAAGCCATCCTGTCAGACTCTCACGTTGAACAGTTTCTGTCACAGACACATTCTTGTCATTGTGCAGCAGAGTACAGGTACAGCAGCTCACCTTAACTGGTTTATTTGAACTATGAAATGCTGTTGTAGCCAATAACTATAAAGACAGACGCACGGGAGGGTGGATATACGGACAAATGGGTGTGGCGTATGTTTACACGGGCGAGGGTAGGATGATCAGACAGACAAATACTTGTGGCGTATGTTTACACGGGCGAGGGAAGGATGGACAGACAGACAAATACGCGTGACGTATGTTTACACTGGCGAGGGTAGGATGGACAGACAGACATACGTAAGGCGTATGTTTACACGGGCGAGGGTAGGATGATCAGACAGACAAATACTTGTGGCGTATGTTTACACGGGCGAGGGTAGGATGGACAGACAGACAAATACGCGTGACGTATGTTTACACTGGCGAGGGTAGGATGGACAGACAGACATACGTAAGGCGTATGTTTACACGGGCGAGGGTAGGATGGACAGACAGACAAATACGTGTGGCGTATGTTTACACTGGCGGGGGTAGGATGGACAGACAGACAAATACGTGTGGCGTATGTTTACACGGGCGAGGGTAGGATGATCAGACAGACAAATACGTGTGGCGTATGTTTACACGAGCGAGGGTAGGATGGACAGACAGACATACGTAAGGCGTATGTTTACACGGGCGAGGGTAGGATGGACAGACAGACAAATACGCGTGACGTATGTTTACACTGGCGAGGGTAGGCTGGACAGACAGACAAATACGTCTGGTGTATGTTTACACGGGCGAGGGTAGGCTGGACAGACAGACAAATACGTCTGGTGTATGTTTACACGGGCGAGGGTAGGATGGACAGACAGACAAATACTTGTGGCGTATGTTTACACGGGCGAGGGTAGGATGGACATACAGACAAATACGTGTGGCGTATGTTTACACGGGCGAGGGTAGGATGGACCTACGGACAAATACATATGGCGTATGTTTACACTGGCGAGGGTAGGATGGACAGACAGACAAATACGTGTGGCGTATGTTTACACGGTCGAGGGTAGGGTGGCGTATGTTTACACGGGCGAGGGTAGGATGGACAGACAGACAAATACGTGTGGCTTATGTTTACACGGTCGAGAGTAGGGTGGCGTATGTTTACACGGGCGAGGGTAGGGTGGCGTATGTTTACACGGTCGAGGGTAGGGTGGCGTATGTTTACACGGGCGAGGGTAGGGTGGCGTATGTTTACACGGGCGAGGGTAGGGTGGCGTATGTTTACACGGTCGAGGGTAGGGTGGCGTATGTTTACACGGGCGAGGGTAGGGTGGCGTATGTTTACACGGTCGAGGGTAGGGTGGCGTATGTTTACACGGGCGAGGGTAGGGTGGCGTATGTTTACACGGGCGAGGGTAGGGTGGCGTATGTTTACACGGTCGAGGGAAGGATGGCGTATGTTTACACGGGCGAGGGTAGGGTGGCGTATGTTTACACTGGCGAGGGTAGGATGGACAGACAGACAAATACGCGTGACGTATGTTTACACTGGCGAGGGTAGGCTGGACAGACAGACAAATACGTGTGGCGTATGTTTACACGGTCGAGGGTAGGGTGGCGTATGTTTACACGGGCGAGGGTAGGATGGACAGACAGACAAATACGTGTGGCGTATGTTTACACGGGCGAGGGTAGGATGGACAGACAGACAAATACGTGTGGCGTATGTTTACACGGTCGAGAGTAGGGTGGCGTATGTTTACACGGGCGAGGGTAGGGTGGCGTATGTTTACACGGTCGAGGGTAGGGTGGCGTATGTTTACACGGTCGAGGGTAGGGTGGCGTATGTTTACACGGGCGAGGGTAGGGTGGCGTATGTTTACACGGGCGAGGGTAGGATGGACAGACAGACAAATACGTGTGGGGTATGTATAAAGGGTGAAAACACCCGCTGCATAAGTACCGAACCTGACCACCTAATCCATTTATACCACAAGCAACAGGTGCCCTATTCCAACCTGGGTATCTTAATTACATCCATCTTCTCGAGGCAAGAGAGTTAACTGACTTTAAAAGTGGAAACTGGACTTATATAGTCAGTTAACACTCTTGCCTCGGGAAGATGAATAACATCGTGCAGGTGGCTGCCTTTTTGGTTACTATGGTTTCCAAATAATCGGACAATACACATGCACATGTTGGTCATTAACTACATTTCATAGTAATGCCAGCAGATGCACCACGAATTATGAAAATGCACCGCGTAACACAGCACCGTGGAGGCGATACACTTGCCACATACATCCTAATGAAGACACTAGCTTGAGATTACGCCGGCATAAGTGAAAGCTATGCAGTGCAGCACTGAGTAAATAAGATGCGTTGATTAGTTAACACGGAAACAAAGCAACGTGACAGCCAGGCATGATAAACCTGCAGTGCGATATAGTTTCGTACTGGATCTGTATCTAAGAATAGACCGGAAATTGAGACAACAAGTCGCCATAACACTCGATACAAAACTCGTAAAATAAGTAAGAGTTCCAATATTGAGAATAAGGCAATCAATGTAACATTTATATATAGAAATGAGTTGTTTGTTGATTAACGCCGCACACGTTTTATGTTGCTACACGACGGCGGTCTGTTAATAATCGAGTCTGGACCAGACGATCCAGTGATTGACATCACGAGCATCGATCTAACTCAATTGGGATACGATGATATGCATCACCTAAGTCAGTGAGTCTGACTCCGATCCCGTTAGTCGCCTCTAACTACAAGCATGGGTTGCTGAAGACCAGTTCTAACGCGAATCTTCATGGGTAATAGCGGTTCCATCATACAGTTGTATATGTTTATGAAACGTACATATCAAGTTTCGCAATGACAATGTTTTGCTAAAAAATCTCATATTATATATATTTCGTATGGTATTGTAGGTAATCAAAATCACCACTGTATACACATTTGTTGTTTTTGAAAACCGGAGAGCTAAGCTATAACAAAATAGCATTTACTCGCATCGGAGAAATGTAAACGAAAGCGTCTGCTTTGCTATATAAACCTATATATATATTTAAGAGAATTCCATGGTAGGTCATATGTGAATGGTGGATGGTTGGTTTGTAGTTTAACGTCGCACTTAGCAATATTCCAGCTATATGACAGCGGTCTGTAAATAATCGAGTCTGGACCAGACAATCCAGTGATTGACATCATGAGCATCGATCCACGCTATTGGGATACGATGACATGCATCAAACCAAGTCAGCGAGCCTGACCACCCGATCCCGTTAGTCGCCTCTTACGACAAGCATAGTCGCCTTTTACGGCAAGCATGGGTTGCTGAAGACCTATTCTACCCCGGATCTTCACGGGTCCATATGTGAGTGTATTCTTCAATACTCACATACAGATATACAGATAACATAAAGAGAACATTTATGTTCAAACATCTGCTGTTAGTGTAGTATACATGTATAGGTATTGTGTCACGTGAATGTCTATCGCGTTTCTGATCGCCACATATGTTCACGCATGGCTACATCTCATTGTCCATGGATTTATAAATCTGAAGCAAGTGTCAAATAATTCCCTACTACACCGTGTGATACTCAATGATAATCTCCTGGAGTATGACACGGGCTATTATTACCCGCCACAGACGTAGGTCACGGGGTTATCCCGATGACTTGATACAGTAATAGGCACATAATATATAACATGAATCACCCTATACTCATAAAACTATCATCGAAGTAGTCCGCGGGATTATTGGTTAGGTGTACATACGGATAAAACTGGGCGTACAAAATATTGGCGTAATGTGTGCCACGTGCACAATAAATGTTGTTATTAAAACAGGGAAAACTTCTAAATTGAAATATATAATATATCAGTCACGACATGTACAGAATAATGCTGTCATTACGAGATCGAAACAATTACCCCAGCGTGTTGGTGAAAGATCAGGGGGAGATAACTCTATTGTCAAGATGTCTCCGACAAACGAACGCTAGATTAAGCAAGTCACATGTCACCTCCACCTGTTACATCAAGGGTTCTGTCACATTCTAACTTCAAGTTGACTTTATTCAACATTTGACACTATAGGGTTGTAGAATAAGTACATTGTGCCTATTATTTGCAGTTTGAGCGTCAAAACTAAGCACCATCAGTCGTAGGTTATCAGTTGCTGAGGATAAATTCTAACCCGGAAGTAGACATTGTAGCGTAAACAGGTGTAGCGTGAAGGAGTAGAGTAGCATATGCAAAATGCATGTTCTTGAACAGATTGACCTCTAGCAATTGGAAAAGACTTCATATAACTACAGGTCTATCCAGCAAGCCCCACTACAATCAACCTACGTCTAGGCTTCTACCTCCAATACCATCATCGCACTCTTACCTGTATGTTGACCAGTCTTGATATTTCGTAGTCCTCGTGGCCGTCGTAAAGACGTTTGAGGTCGTCCTGCTTTTTCCGCAGCCACCTCCGTATGCCGACGATGGCGGTGTTGAGGTACCGAAGCTCTTCCTCTGGGCTACGGGACAGATCTGAAATCAGACGGAGGACAGTAGGAATCAGAGACAACACGCTGATGAGGGCTGGCAATATTGGCAGTGAAAGCAAGTTTAATTCAATTCGTTAGAAAACAATTAGCTCAATGTAAGATGTAAGGATTACCTTAAAGACAGAGAAAATGTCACAATTTCACACTGGGCTCTCGTTACAGCGTATGGATCTTAGCGCAGTTCCACAAAGCGATCGTAGCGCTACGACTGTCGTAAGCCTATGTTTAAGTATGGGAGTTACGACCAACATAGCACTAAGATCGCCAAGTGGAACATGTTCATGGACCCTGTTCCACAACGTGATGTTAGCGCTACGACGATCGTAAGCCTATGTTAAAGTATGGGAGTTACGACCAACATAGCACTAAGATCGCTGTGTGGAACATGTCCATGGACCCTGTTCCACAACGCGATGTTAGCGCTACGACGATCGTAAGCCTATGTTAAAGTATGGGAGTTACGATCATCTTAGAGCTGAGCTCTTTTTGTGGAACTGGAAATGAGCAACATACCCTTGATCAGAATCAATCTTTAACACTGCGTGACAAACAAGGAGTTTAGCGTGTTCATAGTTTACTCGAAGTGATTTAGGCAATCAATATTAATTCGACCAGCTTCGTGCGTCCAACGACATGCTTCAGTATATTTATTGATTCTTGGAGTCATCTGTAAATAGTCCCACAATAGGATATTGGAATTCCATTTACAATGGCATGCCTGCTTCAATGATTCGTTAGCGTCAACTTTGTGCACGTGCCCAGAGAAATATCTAGTCATTCTGGTGATGTGAGGTGAAATTGGGTTTAACGTCGCGTCCAAGATTATTGCACTTATATAGCGACGTTAGTCATTCTGGAGTAGTCGTTAGTTTTCACGAAAGTGTTACAACTATTCACACTGTTTATAAGCGAACACCATACATTTCTCGGTAAATAAGTGGAGTAAGATTGAAGACAGTTTTAATTGGCTGGCGCTTTCAACTCGTACCACGTACGAGTCTCATCAGTTATCAGTTATGGCCTGATGAGACTCGTACGTGGTACGAGTTGAAAGCGCTAGCCAGTTAAAACTGTGTTCAATCTTACTCCACTTATTTAATTATTACTATATTGTGCCTGATCTGTCTATTTATTTTCACTGATATAAATATTGTGATACCTAGCGTGTTTCCGTGGCCTTGACCAGCTTTATTGTAAATATCGATCAGATTAGCCCCTTTATTACCCAATGCTGCACAAGCCGTGCCGTGACAACCAGACTGTGAAGGGTGCCTACTCATGTATGACTAATGGTTGTGGACAGAGGCGGTATTAGGATGAGTAAACAATCAACTTCCATTCATGTGATACAGTGCTGCAGTCGGATTTTCACGCCCAGGAAGATCGTGATTCTCTACGGATTGCTGTTAAGTGGGTGTGACAACCATGTGGAACTTTGCTTTTAGAGCTGTGAGTTTCCGCGCCGTTCGTGCAAAAAGTAGTGTCATAATTAGTTATTGACAATCAGTGTTCAGTTCCATTGATGTCGACGTCGAGTGGATGATAGGTCTAATTTCTACCACTTGACGAAGTATTTTAATTTTTTTTTGAAATACAAGGCTAACTTTGAGAGGGGAGAAATCGTGCATAGACAACGTTAAGCAACATATGAACTATTTTCATGGTTTATACGTGTCTTAATGAAATTACCATTGTTGCCAACGTAGTAAATAAATATGGTCACACATAATTTAATTAGTGTAATTCTAATCCAGTATTTTTTATCTGAGTTGTTGATCAAAGAAATGGACATATTTTCGTGATCGGTAATACTTGTATGCAAACATTCTGGTTTAAGCGTTCGCTTTGTACGCCGAAGACCCGGGTTCGATTCCCGACATGGGTACAATGTTTGAAGCCCATTTCTGGTGTCCCCGTCGTGATATTGCTGGAATATTGCTAAAAGCGGCGTAAAACCATACTCACTCACCCACTATGAAATAATGTACGATTCCAATTCCAATAGTACGTTGTACATTCGAATTAAGCACAAACTTTGACGTTCTAACGTTATGCCTTCTCATGGTTCAACATGCCTTCGCAATCAACTTGTCCCCAAATAGCATAACGTTGTACATGTGAAGATAAAAGAGGTCCCATTAGGCGGGTATACCATTCTGCGGTTTGGAATACGTTCGGAAATAATTAGTGCAGACACAATAGTCAGGGTTGAAGGGCAGGATGTTCTATAGCATGGATACTCCCTGAAGCAGGGCTTACGTTAACCTTTGATCTGGACTTTGAAGGACGGTTCACCCAGGTTCACAGCCATGTACTGTCGTGAGAAGTGAACATGATGATGTTGATTCATGCCAAGCTGTCTGATGGCTGCGTATGCATATTTTGTAAAATGAACCAACAGAAGAATTGAAAGTCGTGTTCGGAATATGACAATAATATGATAACACAAATGCAGCGTCACAGAGCGTTGATGTAACGGTTTGGGGAATATGTGATTGAGCCATGTGTATGTAACCAGTTGTACTCGACAGGGACTCGAAAGGGAGTCATTAACTTGATAGTCAACACACGTCCCACTAGGCTTCCCAACAACACTACTTGCGTTGATATTAGCGACTATTCAAACAACAAAGGAGAAACTTGTTTTCTTACTTGAGCAGTTGTAAATTCCGCACACCTTATATAGGTTTGAAATAATTAAAGTTAATGTAATGCTAAGAGAAGGTATGAATGTAATACTAAAAAGGTGTTTTTTGCTAACATGCATATTCTAAGAACACATTTTCTTTAACGTGCGCTGGCATCATATTGAATAAATGAACGTGAGTATGTGATACGAGATTCGAAGTTCACACACGAATCACTGACGAAAGCACAGTGATGACACCGTTTTGCACTCAACCCCTACCGGAAGCACCTGCCGCGATTGAAGGTCAAGATCATGGTACAGTTGATCCCGATACAGTTTTGTGACCAGAAGTCCTACTTCTAGGATGTTCATATGTGTACAAAAGTTGTACAATTTATAACGTTTGTTCAGCATCTTACCAATAAACATATAACCTGAACAAAATCACGTAGTTTTGGAAAAGAAGAAGGTGTCAGAGTTTTCCCCACAACACCATTGACGTGACTTAAAAAATGTACCTTTCACCTTGAATTGACTTCTGTCATATAACATATTTCAAATCGGTAACTAACAGGAACCAATTTATGAACGCCTCAATAATAATCTTTTATCAATAACTGGTCAGAAACATTACCTCTGCCATTCTGTTAGAAATAGCAAAGGGAATATTTCTTTGACAAATATTTGATCTCGCAGAAAATGATCAATTTCCATTAACAATGTTTGTCAAGAGTGGAGGTGTAATGATCTTTTTCAATACGCAATCCTAGTGACACAGTATTACTTTTACAATAATCAATATTAAATACACCCAAAGGATACTGGTAATCTTGATGACCCATAATTATTCCTAGCGACGACTGACCTAGTTATTATTACACATAATGACGGCTAACCGGGTTTCGTAGAAGCGGAACAAAGATCCCGTAGTTATCAATAGACTGAACCAAGTTTCGACTCTATCTAGAGTACATTAACACGGGTCACTTCGGAAAGCACGAATGAGTGACTTTGGTTTAACGCCGCTTTCAAAAGTAGTTCAGTTATATCACGGTGTGTCAGCTCGATGTGTGAGGAAAGTGATTCGGGTCTTAGATGTTTACCACTTTGGTGACCCGTGAAGATCCGGGGTGGAATAGGTCATGCTTGCCGCAAAAGGCGACTATGCTTGTAAGAGGCGACTATGCTTGTAAGAGGCGACTAACGGGATCGGGTGGTCAGGCTCGCTGGCTCGGTTGATGCATGTCATCATATCCCATTTGCGTGGATCGATACTTACGATGGCAATCACTGGATTGCCTGGTCCAAACTCGATTATTTACAGACCGCTGCCATATAATTTTGCTGGAATTTTGCGGAGTGCGGCGTTAAACAACAAAGAAACAGACACAAAACCACTTTAGTTAATGAAACCCACGAGCACGGTATGGTGCAGTCAAACCTGCAAACACTTTAAGGGCAAATTATTAGAACCCACGATCATAGGTGACTTGCCTGCCCAAGGGACTTAACTCTGCATAGCGAATTGCTTGGCCTCTGTAGACTGGGCCAACCGGGCCCCATGAATACATGAGGGGTGGTAGGGTATCCAAGTGGTCAAACGTTGGCTCGTTCATTCCCCACATGGTTAGACAATGTGTAAAGCCAAATCATGGAATGCTGCTATAAGTGGCGTAAACGCTATACCAACTCACTCATCCTGAGTAGATGGATCTACGGACTGACAAACTATATTGCGATTTTTTTCTTTATCAGGGCATAAAATGATTATACTCATTGACACATTGTCGACTGGAAAATTTCCGAAAAGTTGCGGCTGAAAAATGCATGCACTCAAGCCGCAGTCAGATAGAAATGATTCACTGTTCGTTGTTTCGGGATTTGGGGGGTCGGTGAAACTGAAATCAGATGTGAATGCGGAGAAGCCGAAGCCACAAAGGAATGTTTTACTGTTTGTTGTTTCGGGATTTGGGGGGTAGGTGAAACTGAAAATGCATGCACTAAATCAAATGTGAATGTGCAGAAACCGACGTCATAAAGAAATGTTCATTGGTTCAGGATTTTTCCCCCCTTTTTTGGTGAGGCAGGTAAACTGAAAATACATGTCCTAAAGTGAATGTGCAGAAACCGACGTCATAAAAAAATGTTCATTGGTTCAGGATTTTTTCCCCTTTTTTGGGGAGGGAGGTAAACTGAAAATACATGTCCTAAACCAATCACGAGGTTAATGGACAGGATGAAGTAAAACAAATCTGCATTTTCGTAGCTGTTCGCAATCGTGTGAACCAACCCTTAGATGGCATTATTATCGGGCACCTTAGCTTATCACTGTAGCCTGTAACTCAGCGTTCAAT